GGTTTTCAAAATAATAGGATATAAACGTATTATTTCCATACATTAAATGGATATTGTTACTTTATTACCTTATTTAGGGATGGATATAGGCGAATCTTTACATCAACTTGTATTTAAATATTTATTTATTCAACGTAAATGTTTTGTATTGCCTTTTTGGTGGAAATCGGGCATGGAATATTTATTTGGCACAGATGTAATAATCAATGAGCATTTGCATCAATTCTACTTTTATTTATTTAACCAATATCATGCTGGATATTGATGTTAGCTCTGTATGTGGAGTGACTCTCTTTCTTTTCTTTTTCTTTATTTAAACAAAACTGGGTGCCTAGGCCGCGCAGCGTCCCCTACCACATTCATCATGAAAATTATATACAGAGAATAAAACATTTTGAATTATGTAACAATGTGGTAACATAATAATAAAGTAACCATGATTAGAAGTATGTACATAGAGTGACTCTCCACTTACCAGGGCTGAAATATATCAAGACAGAAAAGAGTATAAACTGGTAACAAATAAACTTCCTTTTTAACTTTTTTTCGGGAATAATAAAATATGCATAACTACCGAATTTCTTTAACAGATACAATCGATACATTGAATTGCTTCTTCTTCGTGTAAAAGTAATAGCAGTGAATTGTTTATTGTTAAAAATAAATTTAATTCTTCCGAAAATTATCTACTACTGAAATAGTTCTACAACTAGCGTTTTCTCTTTTCCGTCTCGCTTTCAGGCCTGCCACCAACCGATTCATCTGTACTTTGTGGACATGTACTATTAAGTCATGTAAATTAATAATCTTATGCTGATTAACCTATACAATCAGGACTAAAAGCCTAATGAACCAAAACAGAAAAAAGCAAAAAACTGGTACGAAAGGCATTTTCTTTCTATAAAAATTTAATTTCTGTAACTACTGAGATTCGTTTTGCAATTATATTATACACTGAAGAGCCAAAGAAACTGGTATACCTGCCTAATATCGTGTAGGGTACCCGCGAGTACGCAGAAGCGCCGCAACACGACGTGGCATGGATTCGATCAATGTGTGAAGTAGTGCTGGAGATAATTAAAAAGNTTTGTGAATATAATTTAGCATGTGTGTATCAGAATTTTTTTCGAAGAAATTCTCCGCTTTAACTTTTTGAAACCACTCGTTTTGGTCAAAAATATTTACACACACATTTGCAAATTTCAATTTTAAAATGTAAATATCTATTCTCTGATGGTTGCAGCAGACAAACCTCAATTTTCTCATAAAACATTTTATGTGCTACTATGTAGAAGATATCCCCACCCCCTCTTACTCCCACTTATGGACAGCCCTGCAGGATTCATGGTGTCAATTATCTCCAGCACTACTTCACACATTGATCGAATCCATGCCACGTCGTGTTGCGACACTTCTGCGTGCTCGCGGGTACCCTACACGATATTAGGCAGGTATACCAGTTTTTTGGCACTTCAGTGTATATATGAAACTGCTTTTTTCCCGAGAAAAAGTAGATATTGTTGAATAGATTAAAGAAGAGAATAGAATTACTGCTCTCGAAAACTAGTTGAAACTGAAATGGTTTTACAACCAGTTTTTCTTCTTTTCCGCCTAGCTTTTAGCCATGAACATTATTGGTACAGTTTTTTTACACCTTTAACGTGATTAATATTCTTTGTAGTGGTAGAGATAAAACAATTGATTTTACAGTTTTAAACAGACATTTCTTAATCATGCTTAATACTCATACAGAATTTTGTTGGAGTTTTTATGTGTTTATTTAAGCTACATGCATTGATGGTCCAAAACATTATAATTTAATTTTGTTGTAGATAATTTAATCATTAATATATCATTGCAAGAACATTTGCATTAGCTGTTCTCACATTCCTCAATTAATTCCAGCTCTTAACTTGAATGCATTGAGATTATAAAATTTAAATTTATATAAAAGCTCTTAACTAAAGGTAAAGTTGGTAGCTATAGTAGCAAAAAATTATTTTATTAAATAATTACTGCAAATATTGTTAGTTTTAATCATCTGAATGGAAGCTTTGCATTCCACTTTTGAGGAAACAAATTTTTAGTTTGAAAAGAATGTTCAATCATCTTACAGTTTTACAGTGAGACAGTGGCTAAAGCACAGAAAACTGTCAATGTGAATTTCCAGTATAACTTGAACCCCACCCATATATATGAGTACTAGCTTGTCTGGGAAGTAAAGGCGGCCTGCGCGCAATGTTGACAACATAGCCACAATTATGCAGTTGATCATGAAATTGTGGAACCTTAACCTACGTGACCCCCTTGATCTTAAACGGATAGTCGTGGGAATGCTTTTGCTTTACTCTTTTCTAAATAATTTAATAAAATGCTCTGAAAAACAGGCACAAATGCTTCGTAGTCATAGTCATATCATTGCATAAGACTTTTAGTCCCCGAAACGGCCTTTTACCTTCCCGGATTGATGGAGAAATCATGTAGTATTTTTCAGCATGAGTTTTGAGAAAAAAGTATAAAATAAAAGAAAAATAAAAAAAAATTATTGCAATCGTGAGATAGAATAATGATAAACTATTTGCCACAATTGCAGCGCGATTCGCTGCGTTCGTGCCAATAAGGAGATAGTTAATAAGTAAGAGGACAGACTGCAGCGCCAATCGCGTGCACTATTATAAATATAAGTACCAATTAAATTAGTGTAGATTTATTTAAGTTTTTCCGATAAAATAGCATCTCTAGTAAAAAAGTGAGCAAGGAGTCAGATTTTAGAATCTTCAATTAGCATTTCTGCTTTAAAAAATATTGTTATAATTTGCAACAGAGCAATTTTGGGCTTTTTCATAAAATTGTATATTAAGTGACATTTATGTTTCAGTGAGGGTCTTTAATTTAAAATTTCTATGTATTTCTTTATGTCGAATGTACAAACGCCTTTTTGCCTAACGTTCTATTCAAATATAGCTGCATTTGTCAAAAAAGAAAAAAGTGGCAGGACAAGTATCGATTTGAGTATTATTTTTCAGAAACCAGAAAATTATGTGTGACAAAATATATCAGTAATATAAATATTTGGAATTAGATCTGATGATAAATCTAGAGATGCAAACTTGCTGCGGACAGCTGATAAATGTTTTCGAGTGGTAGTCTTTGAGTGTAAGATTCTTGATTTACTTAATAGATCATGAGTTCGATTCCCGCCACCCGAAGAATCCCTGTGTAGTCTGGACACGTTAAATCTGTTGGGTCAAAGTCCTCCATGTTCCTGTAACAAATCATACCTCTGGGGGAATTAAATTGGATATTGATCGTTCTGTGGTTATGGTCAAAATTATGATCTGTGAATGAATAAATAGATGTATGAATGGATCCTCCTATAAACGGGAGTGTGGCTGAAATCGTATCCTTAATCATAGATGGCGCCACTGAAAAACAAGAAATTCCCCAACTGTCTTACATACGCTTGGTTTCAGCAGGTTTTCTGGATTGGAAAGTGACAACTAAATTCGATGTATGGGGCTTTTACTCATCACTACTTCAAATTATATATTTATGTGATACGCAAATTTGCTACAGCTTACTCATGTTAAGTTTTTTTAAAATTTGTTAAAATTATTCAAAAATCTGCAAATTTTAGTTTGTACATCTCTACCGTTTTTTAAGATATTTTGTCAAATACGAAGCAGTTGGCATCTCTGTAGATCATAACACTTTCTTTAAATTAAAGTGGTAGGAAATTGAAAGAAATACTTATTCCCTTGGGAGCAAAGCAATGGAACCTAATTATTTTTTCTTAGTTGCCAAAAGCTAGCTAGGCCTAAAATCAGCTAGGCCTAATTTTCATAGCAAAAAGAAAATTTAGAGTTCATTCTAGATCTTAAAAAAAGGAAAGATGCAAAAAACTGAAAAGACACTATATCTCTCAAAGAGCTGTAGTGGCTCAAGGGATAGAGCGTCCGTTTTCCAATAAGGTTAACCGGGTTCCAATCCCAGCAATGGTTGGTCGATATGAATTCCGCACCAGGCTTGCAACGACCACAGTTCTGATGGAAAAAATATCCTCAGTGGGTCATGGGTTAGAGTCCCTTTGCCTCTAGGCTAACAGTGGGAGGTCTTCGTGGTTTTTCTCACCACCGTAAATGTGGGTCAGTTTCATAAAAAAAAAACTCCGCAATGACAAATTTCTCCCAATACTTGATCCAGGAGTTGCCTTGTCTTTTGGATTGAGTTCAAAAGTAAAAGACTTCGGAGTTGAACATAAGTAGTCGTTATCTCTAACTTGGGTCGGTTATTTGACGACGGTTATAAAATAAAATAAGTTCTTCAAAAAAGCGGCACTCTTCACAAAAAAGGGCATTGCATTTCATAAACATTTGCATAGCTTTTCAGAAACTCAAAATATACAAAGTTCTTAAATCTGTCCAAAAAAAATCCTTTTTTCCCCCCAAGTGAAATATAATTTTTAAAAATAACTACACAGTTAAATTTGCGCATAAATCGGTTTTAAAATTAGCGTAAGTCACGAATTTTAAAGTATTGTGAGCCGTAGCAATTCATTAAAATTATCGGAATTTTAAAAACGATATCGAAATGGTTTAAAAATCGAAAAGTAACTGTAATAACTGCCGGAAAAAGCCTTCAAAAATTTATGTGCATTTACGAAGGAATCATCCTGAATTGGGCAAGTAAAAAAGTGTTTAGTAGAATGCAAATTCACTAGCCGTAACATCGTATTAAAAATATATCGGAATTGAAATTTAAAAAAAAAAAGAAATTTAAATAGACGAGAAACAACAAATAACTGCGGAAAAAAACGAGCCTTAAACGATGTGGATTTAAGATAAATGACGCGGTAACGTCATAAGCTGAAATCGAAAGCTCGGAACGGTAAGAGTTCATTTTAATATAGTATTTTTAATATAGCCTTTATAGTATCTCTCTAACCATGCCCATACCACCTAATGACATATGCAAATAGATATATTTCAAGAAAAAAGAAAAACAATTTTTAAATACTTTATTCAATTTACAAAAGTGCCAAAAAAGAGTATAAAATCCAGTGTGATTATTGCAAGTGCAGTTAAAATATAAATTTTAAAAAGTATGTCCACATTCATAGTCCATTTTTCAAAATCATGTCTTTAAGGGTGGATCCTGTAAAATAAAAACAAAAACTAATATTAAAATTATATTAAATATTGTAGCATGCACCAGAGAACATTAAGTGGGTGGAAAACCCTTTTTGTTCTTTTCTTCCTTGAACGAAAGAGGAAATGGAGAAAAAAATTCCCTTACGTGCGTCTTAAATAATAAAAATTTAAAAAGATAAAAATTTAAAAGATTTGCTAATAAAAATTTAAAAAGACTTAATTATCAATATTTCTCAAACTTATGACATTTTTATATTAGATTATTTTTAACTTTAATTTTTACCTATGTTTTACTCATAATTGTAAAATTCAAAAATGGAAACGAGATTTTTTTTATCAAAAAAAAACCTAAAAATTCTGGAACAAGAGAAGAAAATTTGACTGAAATAAAATTCAGAAAACTCATTTCGTTTTAATGAGAAAAACGTTTTTTTAAAAAAAGGTATTTAAATCATTATACTTCACTGATACCGGAAGGAGCTGTCGCTATCAGAAGAATAACCGAAATCTTCATCATCCGCATCATCATATCCACCTCCTCCATCCCTTCTTGAATAATGCCTGTCAACATACACAGAACAATTGTTATTTATCATGCCAGTAAAATGTGATATGCATCTATACACTTTATTTGACAAAGTCTTTATGAGTATTAACACGATGAATGCCACGCTAATTTTACATGGCTTGCCCGTCTGGACAAACGGTAAATAACTACAAACTAAATTTGCAATTACTAGACAGATTTTGCTACTTTTTTAAAAGGTTTAGCATGACATATCGGAAAAAGGGGGTAAACTATATAAGCCTATAAATTGCTTAGAAGTAATGGTGGATAAAAATCTACGAAATTGAAATCTACAAAATATGCCAGAATAAAATCCTCAGGAAAATAACAAAAGCGAGACGGTTCATCCGAAATAAAAACATACATCGTGACCTCAACATAGATTTTTTAAATCATCATATTGCAAAGCTAAATTTCAGATTTTTTGAAAAGACCATAAATAGCGACACCACAGGATTCAATGAAATTGAAAACTTAAGAGAAGACATAAACCTCAGGCCGATGGCTGCTCATTTTTGTAGTGACGTAATTTTAACTAGAATACAAATATTTAATTTCCTTTTACACCAATTGCATTCCAATTACCAGAAAGAACCATCTTAAAGATCACAATTCAAGGCGAATGGGAAAAAGGCCGATAACGGCCCCAGGCGTTTAGATATATTTTGATGATGATGATGATGATTGTTCTATATTGCATTAATTTCTTCTAACCATTTTAGTAACGACAATAATATATAAAAATTAAAATCATTAAAAAATTATTCAAATTATGTGTTTCTAATAATCTTGGCTTCGCCGTTCACCTGTGACCCCTATGGCACTCAACGTGTTAAATATAATCCTAATGTTTCGTTGTATCAGCTAGCTCTTCATCAGGATGAAATCAGAAATGAACTAAAATGGAGACAAGCCTTTTCGATGCATCTTTTCTAAGAAACTATGTCTCCTAATGATATAACTTTGAAATTTTTGGGGTATATTTGAGAACGTATCTGTTGTAGGCAGCGATAATGTTTTAACGTAAACAAGAATAATTTTTGTTAATAAATTTTTTAAACATTTTCTGCCAAAGATATGTATTAACAGTTATCGCAATGTAAACATGTACATATAAATATTCTGCGGGAAAAAAACGGAAGCAACATCTTGTTTAAATGCTGAATAAACGTACATCGAAAAAAATCAGTTTTAGCATTATTGATATGTGCCCTGCCGACTACCCTTAACCCGTAAAAGGACTAAAGCTCCCAGGAATCTTCTTCAAAATAAAGACTAACAAAATAATTTCATTTCTACAGAATATTTGTGTCAACCAAAAAATATTATATCTTAATGCTTTAATGTGAATGTTTTGAACTAGGCATTTACCTTACGCAGGGGTCTATCCTGGCCGAATTTACTACCGTTTAGCGGTACCTTCACAAATTCAACTTTAGAAAAAACGGTAGTTTCACAAAATACTTTTTCTTAAAATTTTATTTTCGTATCCCTAAAGAAACGATAAATCCATATTTTTACGATATTTTTGTGCTGATTTCTTAATGTAATTTTGAATTTTTCACAAATTATGTCTAAATTTTCACAAAATAGGTACCTCTCAGAAGAACCTAGACAGACCCCTGCCTTACGGCACCTGCCTATTCATCTAAAATTGAATGCCATGTGACCATGAAAAAATAAATCGGTGAAATAACAATAAATACCTGAGATATATACTAAAATTACAAAAGACAATGAGCAACTATTTACAATCGAAAATATCTGGGTCGACAAACCAAGTTAAGCTCGTCCTCCCTCTGGCTCGCCACCTCCCGATTGGACTTCATTGGTGCACAGAGGGATGACTTGTCAAAGCAGATTGAAATTAAAAATAAAGACGTAGTAGAGCAATGAATGTGTATGTCACGGCGAAGGACCGAAATCGGTGGTTGTTGACTCTCACCGGTACAACAAACACCAAATACGTCGGTGAAAGATCGAATATTTCATTACATTCGGTCCCTCACCGGTGTCTGTCGACAATCACAGATATGCTTCGGTGAATGTCCGAAATATTTATTACATTCGATTTGATATGAATTTATTCGTGGATACAATTACATTTATTCGATATTTTAACCCTACACTGATGTTTTTTTAAGGTCAAGTGCCATTGCCCGGTATATATTTACCCGATAATCCAAACACTGATGTTTCTTCTAATCTATCCGTCTGTAAGTATTAAAATATAGAATAAATATAAATATATCAAATAAATATAATAATATTAACGAATAAATTAATATAAAATTGGATATAACAAATATTTCGGACAATCACCGAAGTGACTATGTGATTGTTGACATTCACCGGTGAGAGTCAGAAATAAGGGTATTTAGCAAATATTTCGGACATACACCAAACGACTACGTGAATGTTGACATTCACCGGTGAATGTCAGCATTCTCCAGATTTCGGTGTCTCACCTTAACATGTACACTATTTAAAAATACCTCGAAAGAGTGCCGTCGGATTGCAGAAAGCTAGTAGCAGGACTTAATCTAATGTTGCTGATAAACATATTCTATATTGAAAATGCTATTAAAATTTGCATTATCGCAGTCCATGGCTTTGCTATAAAATTTGGCCTCCCATTCTTTTAATGTTACCTGTTAATTGTTTAAGTCCTTGCGTAGCTCCTCATTTCTTATGCACCAGAGTGCTCTTGTCATCTTTCTGAGAAATTTGTTTTCACAAATTTGTAATTATTTAATGAAAGTTTTGTGGGCTGTACACACACAATTGAGCCATATGTAATAATAGGTTATAAACACATCAGACAGATGAGTCTATTGTTGAAAAGGGAAAGATTTGAGTAATAGTTGACAAAATGCTTTATCGCGAAGAATGCACTATTAGATTTTATCGCAGTACTGTATACACGTTCTCTCCAAGTGAGTTTATCATTGATAATCACCTCTAAATATTTTGTTTTATTTACTTCTGGGAACAATCGTCTAGAATAACTTAGCTTGAATAACTTCCGTGATCGGAATGCTGGTCTTATGTCTTCCAATAATTAATAATTGCGATTTTTCAGCATTATTCTTAATTTTCCATTTACTACACCATTTTTAATGACTCGACAGTTTTTCAAAAAATTTATATATATATATATATATATATATAAATTTTTTGATTCGATCTATTAGCGAGTAAATATTACTGATGCTATCTTTAAAACATTTGAAAAAACTAAATCATCTATAGTTGATTTAAAACAATTACTCCGGTACAACCAATGAGAAAATGCCAATTTTTTAATGTCTCACAATATAAAATAAAATTTAAAAAAATCGAAAATCGAACTTCGTCATTTGTTTGCATTTAGCTTCATGTTGAATATCGTATTTTTAGAGTCTACGATTTATCCCCACAATACGGTATACAAACAGACTCACACACGCAAATTCTTT